TAATCTGCCTACATTAGTTGATTTTTAGATGGGTCACACTGCCTGCTACTAATTTTTCCCCACTTTGTCTGTTGCAAAAGTAACATTTGCAGCCTATAGATGTGCAAGAATTCCACAGCAGTCGGTACACTACCATTTGACTATATTTTCTTTGAAAGGCCCACTCACTGAGTTACACAAGACCTAGCTACATTCTGAAACTGGTCCCATGTGTTAGTCATCTGTCTGACTGTGACAGTCATTCAGTTGAAGAATGTAGAAATATTTGCAATAAATACACCAATTGGAAAGTCTTCTCTGTCCATTAAAGCACATACTAGAAATTGCTGATCATCAGATAACTGAATTGACTAGTAACTAATAGCAGTGCTCCTCAAATGAAGCCTGACTGACATTTATGTTCTTCCTAAAACAGCCCCGGCCACAGCAGAGCATGCCTCAACACATTAAAACATGCTTCATTTTTATGAAAGAGTTAAAGTCACAAACAAGCTTTCTGTGAATCCTGATCATACACAAAAGCAGAGTATTTCAATTCCACCTGCACTGCCATTAACTAGAGCCACCACAGTGGAGCACGGGAATCCATTACCCTATTCCTAGCAGCAGCTTACCCTACGTCTCCAAAAGACATAAGAAACATCACACCAGACACTTGTAGCATGATCTGTCCTAAGGGAAATTTCTTAATCCCTGTCAGATAATGGTTGATTTATGCCCTGGAGCACCATAGTTAACATCCCTTCAGCTGTAGCTGTAACTGTTCCTCCCATCCCTACAAACAGTTCATTTTTCTTTTTTATCCTACTAGGCTGTTGGTTTATATGTTCTCCTTCAACAATAAGTATTACTGTTATTTGTATTTAAAAAGTACATAATGATTTAGCTGTATTTTATATGCTGCCTTTCAAACTACACTTTACACCTAGTCAATGCATTGTACCAAAGGGTAATTATCACTTATTAATATCAAATAAGTATTTTGCACATATATATCCTACCTCCTCTAAGTGATAGCACTGACACAAAGTTACACTCATATTTTCAGTTCAACTTCATATGAATATTCTTCAATCTCTTTTCTTTGATAGGAGATCATGAATTCAGTATTCCAGGTGAATTTGAACACTGGTTTAATAATCTCCTTCGCGTTATTAACACAGCATTTCACAACAACTGCGGTCGTTTTTTTCTGCCTGATGGAGGTTCTGCATTAAGGAGGTGCACAGGTTCAAATAAAATACTGTTAAAAGTATTTCTCCCCACCTTAATATATAGTTAATTTACAATCCAGTAACATGAACAAGTAACTTGATTATTATTACCTCCAACATGCATATTCTTGAATTTATCAACATCATCTGCTGTGCTTCCCTTTTACCCAGCTTTCTTGGATTCCCTTTCCAGTCTTCTTCAATCTTGCCTAATCCAAATACTTTTGCATCATTAGCAAGTTTTGGCACACCATCATTCATCTAGTTTATTAGATCACCAACATACATGTTCACCACCCTCTTTTCAGAGTTGTTTCTACATCACATGGTAATTTAAGGTTTACTGACAAAAAAAAAAAAGTATTCTTAGTCATAAAGGAGATCATTTCAGCTAGGTACCGGTGAAATAAACAGGAAAAGTACATTCTTTGAGAACTAGGAAACAGAGTTGCAACTTCAAAAAGTCTTGCATGGTGTTGAGCAAAGCTTGGTATCTAACCTCCTTACATTAGCAAAACACAAGAATGCCCCACAATACAGAACACCACAACGGGGTTGTAGGACAGTGTATCCAGAATATCACCCACTGAACATTTCACACATCTTTTCCCTGAAGAAAAATCCTTTGTTTAGAAATCCCTCTCAGTATCAGTTAAATTCATGCTTAATTAATACTAAGTTTGTAGTCTCTTAGGTTGTATCTTCCTAGTTTTTTTTGAGAAGCTGTTCATTTATAACTAATTGTAACATGTACAACTACTTATTATGATAGCAATGATAGCAGAAAACATTTTAAAACAAATGTGCATGCTTCGTTCCCATACTTCATGCTGCATCATAGTCTTGCACCCTTAATTACAGATGACACTTCTAGCATTGATAAGTCTGACCTTGAGAAATGCTTTGAAGAGCATTCTTGAAGCCTTATGTACTTTCCCCTGCATCTAAAGCCAAAAATACCAATCAATATTGCTCAGAAGGCATTGACTGCATTTGCATAGTCACATTACCTTCATTTGACAACCATCTCATTTTGGTAGTTCCCTAAGACTAAGCTAAATTCCAGGATAGTATGCACTGAAAGTTGAAGATGACAAAATTAAATGCTCCTGATCCTTTGATCCTTCACACAAAGTCATCCCTGAATTCATGAAGTGTTTAAAAAACGTTCAATTGTATTTGTTAACAAATAAAAAACAGCAACAGATGTAGTGGAAATCATGCTCATCAATTCAGAAGAAAAATATCTCAACCATGCTGCCTTAGAAGTATTGTTTTATTGATTCCTTTATTTCTTACATACCAAAGCACAAGGTGTGAAACAAGCATCCTGATAACGTGCACAAACCAAAAGTAAAGATGCAGTATAAACCTGTCTAAATCAACTTCCACTATTTCATGAAAGGGATGAAGACGGAGTCAACAAAACTCCCATCAAGCACCTAACATCAGCTGTCCAACACCTTGAATATTCAACTCAGGTCCTTGCAGACTCCAGAGTCCTCCCCACTCCCTCATACTTGCCAAAAGTAAGAAGACAGGGGAAGTCATGGGAAGAGCTCCTGCTCCAAGGCCTATTCTGACATTTATGAGGAGCCCCATCCCAGCAGAGCATGCGAGACGTCATCTTGTAGGTCACCTTGTCAGCTCCAAGCTCACTGCACACAGATCATAAGGGTGTGCAGGAGCCCTGAGCAGAAGCTGGGCACCCCAGCAGGACAGACATGCACTTGCTTTTCAGACAAAATTTCAGAGAATTTTGTGCAGATTCCTCGCAGAAGGACCAGTGGCACAGCGCATTACCAATCTCCTCTTCTGGAACTCCACAGAGGACAACAGGCCAAGGTGCGCTGTGCTCGTGATGGACATCAAAAAGACTTTTACGGCACCTGCTCCGCATAAAAATCAAGCCTTTATCAAAGTCTCCTTGTAATTGAGCTGGATACACATACACAAATATATTACATACTAAATATTATAGCCTAGCTCCTGCAAAGGCTTGCATACATGTTTATCATTACATATATAAAAGAAATTCCATGGTTTCAAAAGCTGTATTTGTGAGAATGAATTAGAGCACATGGGTGAGTCTTTGCAGGACTAAGACCTATAAGCCCCTGAGCAGCAACATCTCCTGAGAACTTGCTACGATTTGCACATCACCAGCAGTTTATAACCCCCTCTCAGCTGGCTAAACCTTGCAACAGGGAAGGACTTGCTTCCAGCTGAGGAGCTGCAGTTAAAGTTCACTTCTTCTCGCACTGCACACACCTATGCAAAAATTAAATCCGAATTGAAATGAGCTACTTGAGTACCATTTAATCAAACACAGCCTCGCTGGATATGAGAGGAAACAATGATGAGCAGGCCCTTTGGCTGTAGTGGTACCAAGCAAACAGAGAAAAAGGAAACAGCACAGTTACCAGAAGTAGGTAGGTAACTTTTTTATTATTATTAATAATAATAAATGCTTTATTTAAGACTGGAGGAGCCACCGGTGGCCAAAACAATTTTCTAAGTGTGCAGGAGCAGAATTATTTCATAGAAAGCCATTCCATGCCTATGTTGCGATAACTGACTCACGGGCTTCTGCTGGACAAGAACGACCAGGAGAGCAGTCAGGCATTAACACTGATTGCTAATTAACCCCCACGACCAACACTGCTCCTCTTACAGAAGCATATAAAAGGCCTGCTTAAAACTGTTTGTCCAAAGCAGACACAAAACCTCAATTTGCTCCCAGATCAGCCCTGCAGCCCTCCCCCTGGCCTTGGTCTGCACCACTGCATCCTCCGAGACCGCACGCTGCCAGTCCTGCTCTCAAGCTTGCTGCACACGAATGCCACGGCGGAAAGGCTCTGCCACAGATTTTGGGGACCGCCTTTTAGCTGACGGGCCGTTCTTTCAGCCCTAAGTTTCGCAGAGCTCCCAACTTTTGTATCGCGACCCATTAGATACACACAAGTGCCCTCTGCCTGCAAGCAGCTCTGGCACAGCCTGCCGAAGAAACCGAGAGGAGTTGAAGAAAGTCCTGCCAACAGCAGCACGGGGCCTACAGCTTTCTTACATTCCTATAACATAACACACGCTTAATGCTGTGCCCCGTAACAAGGGCTGGATGTCAGCTACGGACCCCCAAGGGCAAGCACGAGGGCTGTCACCTGCGTGCCACGACACCCCTGGACGGCCGAGCAGCCCCATCAGGGCTGTCTCCCCCCCAAAAAAAAACCCTCGTGATACAGAGGTTGGCAGGTGGCGGCGTGTGATGGGGGGGAGCCATTTTAGAGGCATGCTCCCCCAACCCCGAGGGGCTCCAGCACCTAGCAGCACTTCTAGAATAACCCAAGCCGGCAGTGATTATACAGAGAGTTTAAGGGAAAAAAATAATAATAATGTATACTATATATATATAAGGCAGCAGCTTCAGGTAGAGGTATGCCTCCCAACTCCAGCACCAGGCTAGGTGCCAAAATCCCCCAAGAAAACTTTCTGGGCTGCAGCACGTTGCACCGCAGCGGGCACAGCCGGCTGGAGGGACGGATGCTCGCCACGGCGGCCGCACACACACCAAAAAAAAGGGGGGGCTGAAAGCACCGGGACCGGGCTCCGGGACCCCCTCCCCGAGCAACAAAGGCCGCGGCGGGGGCGGGGGGGAGCGGCGGGCACCGCGCAGCGCCGAGCGCCCCCCGGCCGAGCCCGGCTGCGCCGGTGGCTGCCCCCCGAGCCCTGCCGCCGAGCCGGGCCGCTCCCGAGGCGGTGCTGAGCCCCGAGCCCTCGGCTCCTTACCTGCTGGGCGGCTCCGGCTCCGCGGCTGCGGGCGGGGAGCAGCGGCGGGGCCGCTCCCCGGGGCGCTGGGCAGGGAGAAGCCGCTCCCGCCGCCCCGGCCCGGCCACGGCGGGGAAGTTCGGCGGGGCGGCGGCGGCGCCCGGAGCTCCTGCTGCCGCCCGCGGGGTGCGGGACGGAGGGAGGCGGGCAGGGAGGCAGGGAAGGAGGCAGGGAAGGAGGGAAGGAGGCAGGCGGCAGGGCGGGGACGGGCGGCCCGCGGGGGCGAGCCGGAGGCGGCGGGGCCGGGGCCGGGGCCGGGGCTGGGGCGGCGCGGTGCGGGGAGTCACGGCGCAGGAATGCCAGGAATGTGGGGCGGCCGCTGAGACGTCGGGGACACGACTTGGGATTTCTTTTTCTTTTAATTTTTTTAAAGACTCTCCCCCCCCCCGTCCTCCTCCTCCTCCTCCTCCTCCTCCTCCTCCTTTAGGAAAGAGGAGGGCTGAAGCCCCCCCCGGAGGAGGGAAGAGGAGGGAGGAAGAGGAGGGCGCACGCCGCTGCCAATGGGGGCGGCTGCCCCGAGCAGCCCTCCCCGGGCGCGGGCAGCGCTCAGGGTTTGGGGCCGGCCCGCGGCACCTCCCCGCCCCTGCTCCGCCTCCCCGGGCCGGCGGGGACCGGCCGGGACGGGCTCTCGGTGCTCCTGTGTGTCCCCCCCCGGGGCAGCTGGGTGCCCCTCGCCCGCAGCCTCGCCTCGGGCACAGGGCGGCTACTCCCGCCGAGCCCCCCATGCCTGCGGCTCCCCGCAAGGCAGGGAGAGGGCTGCGGGAGAGGGGCTGCTGTGGGGGCATCGAGCTGTGTGCTGGGGAGCGGGGTGGGTAAGACGTGGTGCTGCTTTGAAGCAGGAAGGGTGCCCGGTGCTTGGCAGACACGGGAACGGCCTCCCAAAATGGGCATCGCTTCCCAAACTGAGTATGGCCTCCTGACGCAGTCACGGCCTCCCAATGTGATCAAGACTTCCCAACGTGGTCAAGGCCTCCCAAAACACTCAAGGCTTCCCAACACAGTCAAGGACTCCCGATGCCTACTTCAAGAGAACATGCCAAGGGGCTGGGGAAGCAAGCAGCGCCCTCACAAAGGCTGGGGCTACCTGGAGGCGTTGAATGGAGTGTGGTGGGCCTGAGTGGTGTGATTGTTGGAAATGATGCGCACACACTCTTGCTTGTCATCGCTGGTGGTCAATTTGCAGTTATTTCTGTTTTCTATTACATTTGTGTGAGATTATCCAGGTGCCCGAAAGCGTACAGGAATACTGTTACCTGCGGGCACCTGTAGAAATGTCAAATGGAGGCACGCTAAAGCTGTGACAAAAGAACTTGAAGATTTTAACAAATGCTAAATATATGAAAAATAGTGACAAATGAGGAGTGGTGCTCTTTCTGAGTTGCTGTGTATTTCTGCTACTTGTACACTTAAGCAATATGTGAGCAGTTTCATTGGAGCCCAGCTCACTCGGATTAATAATGGTAAGAGGATCAGGAGCTGAGAGAGGGAGAAATAGCACAGATTCTTGATTTTGATAGATAAGTAATTGTATTTAAATACCGTATGTGGAATCACAGGCCTATGCCTTACCTCTGGCATAATATTATTATAATTACATTTTGCAAGGAAAGTCCTTTTCATCTAAGACTCTCAAACATTTTACAAACACCACACCTTAATGAAGTAAGTAATTATCCCCATTTTACGTATAGCTACACCAAGGCACTGAGAAGTGACACCATTTAAGATTTCAGCTTGAATTATACTTGACCGCATATAGATACAGAACTATGAGTAGCAATCTGGAAGCAACATCGGGTATCAGAATGAGATGATAAGATGGAGCATAGAGCTGCTGTGCTCTGAATTTTTTGCGGTTCAACTTTGTGCCAGTAAACGGCTTCTTCCTAGTGAGTGGAAGGTTGCATGAGAGGGGAGCATGCTTCAAAACTAAGGCTGAACTTGTTAGGCTCCTTTCAGGCTCTCCCCACACTGTGGGAGGTATAAGGTCTTTGTTTTTTAAGACAGTAAAGATTGACTTTTGCAGCTATGCCTCAATGTGGTGTGCTGGCTGCCTGGAGTCTTCCAGTTGAACTTGTGGTTTAGCAGCCAGTCACTTTTACTCTCACAGGTCTCCCTGCATTTGGAGAAAACTTATTCAGTTACCTTCACTGGAAATAATGTTAGAAGAAGCATAAACGTGCTGACAGATGAAAGTTCTGGAGGGGAGATTTTCTGTATCGGCTATCAGCAGTGCAGTTCCCTAGAAGAAATAAAAACAATCAAAATAAATACACATTATTTGTCAGCAATAGCTTTTACTAAAAGGTCAGCTCAACAGACTCTGCAAAATGAAATGTGTTTCAAAGTTACCAACCAAGAGAAGCTTCTGAAACTTGGAATACTGAAGGCCATTACTTTTTTCATGAGAGTACTTAACGCAATGATTAATGTCTATATGAAACTCTCAGACTGCAGCAGTAGGTGCTTTAGAAATACAAAATTTCACAGACATCATAGTCAGTTACTGCGTGGAATCTTCTATAAGGAAGTTTGTTATGTTGGTGCCACTGTCCCTTTCCAGGACTGTTGATACCTTGAACCTTTAAGTACATGTATGTCTTTGTTTTCCAAGAGCTGCTAGGAACATATAACTCTGGTTAAAACAGAGAGTTCCTACCTGCTTCTTGGGGAATGGTTCCATAAAATACGGAAACTTATTTAGGTGTTTCTCATGCTGCTTCAGGAATACTGTGTTCAAATGATACAAATCATTCAATTGTTTCCAAACCTCTATGCTTGTTCAAAGTCGTCCAGAAAACTGACAGGTTAATCTTCTATCAGTCATCTGTAGGCTGGATTATATATTGTCTTCTTATGCCACTAGGGGATCATGTTACAGCATTATGATGATGATGATGATGATGATTATTTGCTGAAAAGGTGAAAATTCTAAATAATATTTAGAGACTATTGACTTACTATAATGATTTATGGAATTTACCTCCAAAACATTACCTCTGCCCTGGTGTAAGTTAGTTTTTATATTGGTTCCTTCTACAACTTCAATGGGATTATTATACCAAGATGCTCTATGGAATGGTAGAGTAGATGGGGAAAAAAATATTGACATAGGACTGCACCTCAGCTACCTTAGCTGCTAGTCTTCTGTGAGATCTTGGGCATGTAGCAGCACATCCCTGTACCATAGTTTTCTTCTCTGAAAATTGAGCTAATGATAGTGATCTTAAGAAAGTGCATTTTGATTTGCAGATGAAAGCACTATATAGGAGATAGGCATTACTTAAAAAAAAAAAAAAAAAAAAAAAAAAAAAAAAGAAGTCCAATGAATGGATTTGACAGGCTTGAATGTTGTCTCGAAACCCTTCTGAAAAGTTTTAGCCCAGCACCATTCAGCTTGACCAAACAGTTAAATATCAGCAGGGAAAAATTGTTTTTATGTGGGTCAAAATACAGTAGACTTTTATGACGTTGGTGTTATCCGAAGAGTCATGTGCAATTCAATTTGAAGTGTCTTAGCACCTTGCTAGCAAGACCTGTATTAAACATATTTTGAATGTGTTTAAACTGAGGCTAGAGCAATTCTTGAGTCTTGTTATAACATGGAAAAATCTCAGTCCTTGTTGGTTGGTGAAACCATGTCATAACCTGTTTTGTATAAAACTGTCTTTAAACTGTGCTTAAGCAACAGCTGGTGGTTTCTCCTGTGAACAGTAGATGATGTTTAATTAGCCCTACAGTCATCTACATTACAATCAAATCAAAGAATGCAGTTGCAACACATTCCCAATTTGTATTGTAAATGTGACCCTAACTGTGTTCCTAAAATCTCTGTCATGTGCAACAGCTGGGTACACTGACCTGATTGTAACATAAGCAGACACGTAGTACATGAGTATAAATTCCCATTCCTAAAATCATATTTGTTCTTTATAAACATACTTTTAATGTTTGAAGCTTACCACAAGGAAAAAAAAAAAAAAAAAAAAAAAAAAAAGTTTACTTCTGTAGTATTCTCTGCTCTCATTAATTATTCCATTTAATAGAGCTTCTCAAAGTCATCTCTTAGAAAAGGAATTTGGATTACGCAATTTTGGAAAACAAACCTGTTGCCACCAAGCATGAGCTAACATGTTGTAGTACTCTACAGCTTATCACAAGCAAGCCAGCACCCAGATTTGTAGACCAGAAAAAGTCTTGGTTGATTATCTGTGCAAATAAACTATGCTGTGTTGAATATTCTCGTTTGCTTATAGTCTGCCTGAGGACTTACTGAATACCTGTGCCTGTTTTTAGTTCTTCAGTAAGAGTCGTAAAATTAAAAACTTTTAGCATCTGTCAGTGAAATAATGAACTTTCCATTCCATGGTTGTAAGCACTCCAAATGGGATTGACATAAGCAATGTACCTCTCTATGCATCTGTTTCTGTTCTCCAAGCTAAAACAGGACCGAATGAGTGACATTTTTTCCATTTTCACTGTTTAGCAATTTGAGTACTTTCAGGTATATCATTTAAAATGGCCATTGGGTCTTCAGATTTCTGACAACGTGGTTTCCTGAGGAAAAAAAAATAAAGTAAAATAAAATAAAATGACTAACTTTTAACAGAAGTTCATTTAACTAATTTAGGATTATTATGATAAACCTAAGTGCATAATTTGCTGCTCTGTTATGTAATACACTCCATACGTGCGTATAACATCTGCCTGAATGGCGGGAGAGCAAGTCTACAGCAGGTATAAATAAAAGCAATCAATCGCCTATCAAAAATTATCAGCTTATAGCTTTAGGACCCAGTCCTTCAATGTAATTTATCACAGATGTGTAGCTTCAGTTCTTTTGTAAGTCCATGGGACTTAGCAGCATGCCTAGAAGTCAGCATACGCAACTGATTTGTAGATATTTTACCTGCTGCTCTCTTCTGATAATCATAATCTTTATTTATGTGTCTCGGCATGGATTTGGGTGTCTGATTGTGGTCACACAGGTCTGAAAATATTTAAATGCCACTCCAGGATAAATGGTTTCCTGAGAAAGCAAAGAGCTAATGTCATAATCTTGAGTCTGTTTTTGGGACTCTCACAAACTTGTGTAACTTTAATTGAGCCATTATTGTTTGCTATCTCTGTGAAATGGGCACAAGATCATGCTTGTATATGAGAGTACTTTAAGACTCTGAATTTTAAGACTTTCTGAAATCAACAGCAAAGAGCTCTGTTAAAGAATAATGCTTCAGCTATGTGTACTTCAGCTTTTTAAATACTATGTGTTGTTTCTAACAAAGCCCTAATACTCATTCTCACTTTTTTGGTTGAAACTCACTCAGAAAAAGTTTCCTGTCAGAGTAATTTTAGAGTGTTGAGAGGTGCATATAAAATTATTT